ATTTTGTGACGGACCACAAGCCTCTCATGACGGGGTGGAGTCGGGGCCGACCTTGGAGCTTGGGGGGGAGGAACAGCGATTTGTGGCTGCGAATTCGCTGCGCCATCGACGACCGAGGCCCAGGGCACGTCTCGGTCGAATGGACGCCCTCGCACCTGTCCCCTGACGACTCCTCTCTCTCCCATCACGAAGTTTTTCTTGCCAGTGGTAATCAGTTAGCCGACGAAGCGGCTTCTGAAGCCGCTGAACGATCCTGGACTTTGGCCGCCCAGGTTGTCCCCGCCACAGACGCCTGGGACCTCACCGCTGCCCTGGTGCGTCGAAGGGCTCGGCGGGCTTTGGCGGACGCCTCTTCGGCGGACCCCAAGCGTGCCAAGGCCCCGACGGAGATCGAGCGGCCTAGGCCGAAGACCGCCGAGACCCGACGCCTCGAGCACGCGGCCAGGGCCAGCTCTCACAGATTTATTCCAGTCGGGTCCCGTTTCAGGTGCCATCTGTGCTCTGTTCTTTCGTCCCGACAGGGCCTCTTAGAGGCCCTGAAGACGGAGTGCTTTTCGCCGCTGGTCGTCCCTCCTGGTTTCCCTCGGGACGTGGTGGTCGCGGCTCGTTGTGGCGTCGCTGTTGGTGGGCTGGAGCTCGACCCCTCCCACCGTCTGGGATTCTGGGACTTGCATTCCTTGCATTTTTGTTTCAGATGTGGTCGGACCGCGACCGTTGACGGTCGCCAGTTGGCCGAAGGTTGCGGGCCCCCCACTCGCAAAGGCCGAGAGAATCTCGGCCGAATTAAACGCGGGCTGTTTCCGAGCTATGCGGGGCCTTCTAAGGCCTCGCAAGCGATTTCGCATGCGAGGTTAGTGGACGCGTGCGTCGCCGGGGAGACAGCACAGCGTGCCAGGAGGGCAAGCCCTGTACCCTCCCACGCGCCCTCCTCCCCTTGCGGGGAGGAGGAGGCGCTGGGGGTGGCTGCTACGGAGTAGCCACCTTGGGTGCAGGTGCTTGGCCTCCTCCCTCTGTTTTCCCCTCCTCCCTTTTTTTTAGCACGCTGTGCTGTGCAAAAGGTCCAAAAGGTCCTCCGCCTCCTCCTCCTCCTCCGGCCCCTCGCTCGCGTTTGTGGGGGCCGTGCGAGGGAATTGCATCCAGCAAGGACTCCACCTATTTGAAGCGCCTGATGGTGGGTAGAGACCCCTGTTCGGGCGAGTGGCGGGGTGAGCCCCGTCCTCTCTTCCCCACAGATGATGCCTGCTTCTGGCTTCGTCTGCGGTAGTCCGAGGTTTCGTCTGTGGCTGTTCTCTCTTTAATCGTCGGGTTGCGCGCCCTCGGCCTTTTTTCCGTCTCGTTTCCCCCCTTTTCGCTCGCTCTGCGCACCCGTTTCGATCTGGTCGTGCCTCCTCCTCCTCCTCCTCCTCCTCCTCCTCCTCCTCCTCCTCCTCCTCCTCCCTACCTCCTCCTCCTCCTCCTCCTCTCCTCTCCTCCCCCTCCTCCTCCTCCCTCCTCCTCCTCCTCCTCCTCCTCCTCCTCCTCCCTCCTCCTCCTCCTCCTTCCTCTCCCCTCCTCCTCCTCTCCTCCTCCTCCTCCCCTCCTCCTCCTCCTCCTCCTCCTCCCCCTCGCCCCTCCCCCTCACCCTCCCCCATCCCCCTCCCCCTCCCTTCCTCCTCTCCTCCTCCTCCTCCTCCTCCTCTCACTCCTCCTCCTCCTCCTCCTCCTCCTCTCCTCCTCCCTCCTCCTCCTCCGCCTTCGCCTCCTCCGCTCCTCGCCTCCCTCCGCCTCCTCCGCCCCTCCTCCCTCCTCCTCCTCGCTCCTCCTCCCTCTCCCCCTCCTCCTCCTCCTCCTCCTCCTCCGCCTCCTCCTCCTCCTCCTCATCTTCCTCCTCTTCCTCCTCTTATCCTCCTCCTCCTCCTCCTCCTCCTCCTCCTCCTCCTCCTCCCTCCTCCTCCTCCTCCTCCTCCTCCTCCTCCCCTCCTACTCCTCAGCTCCTCCTCCTCCTCCTTCCTCCTCCTCCTCCTCCTCCTCCTCCTCTCCTCCCCCCCCCCCCCCCACTTCAAAGAATTACACAATATGAATACTACTCTCCCACTTCCCCTGATGGCATCCGGAAGATGTTCGGCACCCCCCCGCGTACTGTTTGTTTACACACAGGATTCCCCGGAGTTGGGTTTTCGCTTGTGTTTGTTTCTAAAATGTTGCTCTCGCTGAGGCGTTGGCCTAATTTTCGGTTTCCCGTTCCTTCCGAATCGTGTTCCCGCTGCAGCGCTGGCCTCATTTCCGCGCTCCCGCTCGTTCCGAATCGTGCTCCCGCTGCAGCGCTGGCCCAATTTCTGCGCCTCTCGTTGTTCCAAAACGTGTTCCCGCTGCAGCGCCGACGTTTTCGATCCTTTTTTAAGAAGCCCCAAATCTAGAAAATGATCCCCGGCAAAAACATTGGAGGTGATTACACATCCGGTGTCGATTCGTTGATTTTTGGGGCCGCAGAAAGCCCCCCCCTCCTTTTGGGCGGCGTTCTTCCGCACAGGATTCCCGGGAGTTTGGTTTTCATTTATGTTTTTGAAAATCCGAGTCTTTCCGGTCCTTCAGAATGTTGCTCCCGCTGCAGCGTTCGTCCTATTTTCCGCGCCGCTGGTCGTTCCAAATCGTGCTGCCGCTGCAGTGCAACGGTCCCCAGCCCCATGCTATGATATGCTCCGCTCCAGTGGCGTTCTTCGGCT